CTTCAAGTCTCAGTTTCCTCATTTGGAAAATGGGAGCCATAGCTCCTCCCTCCCAGGTGGCTGTGCAGATTCAAGGAAATAATTTATGTGCCGTGATTACCACAGTGTTCATCACGTACATAGCCCTTAATAGATAGCATTATGGTGCAGAATTTGGAAGGCAAGTGTCATGAGATACTAGAAAAGAACTTTCTGTGTATTATTGGTTGCATTTGGAAGGAACTGTGTGGAATCACATCAGATGTCTACTCTGGAGCTCCAGCAGATGGGGCTCCTACGGGTAGGAGTTACAACACATCTTCCCAAAACAGGAGGAGTGCAGAACCTGCCCTGTAGATTACTCAATTTGTGGGCCTCACCTAAGAAAACACAATCACTAAGAAAACAGAATGCACGATCATGAATTCTAAATATGGTACAAGTTTTGGAAAGTGTCATGCAAGTGAGGATCTCTGAAACTTACCATTTCCAATAAATCAACCTCCAGATGAGTCACTTTTGAAGTAGTGAGTCTTCTGGAGCTGGAAAATTATTTCCAGGGTCATACTAGTCATGTCATCAGTCTAGAAATAATACAAGCAAGAAAGTTGGTGAAAAAAATTTTTTAAAGTTTTTTTTATTTACTTTTAGAGAGAGGGAAGGGGAGGGAGAAAGAGAGGGAGAGAAACATCATTGTGTGCTTGCCTCTTATGTGGCCCCCACCAGGGACCTGGCCCACAATCCAGGCATGTGCCCTGACCGGGAATCGAACTGGTGACCTTTTGGTTCGCAGGCCTGCGCTCAATCCACCGAGCTACACTAGCCAGGGCTTGTGAAAAAAATTTTAATGGTGTCTTTCAGTGATCCATATACAGGTACCGGATGGGAGTTGACTAGATAACATCTAATAGCCCTTAAATTTCTATGAATCTAAAAATTAATGCACATAAAATGGCTTAAATAAATGTACTCAGAAAAAGAACAACTCACAATATTAGTTATTATTCCTTAAACAGTCAGTAATTCTGAAAGTTTAAGTTTCTTTTGGGACAAGGATTGGGCAGTGGAAAATTGGAAAGCGGACTGGGAGGGCCCAAGGAAAGCTGGCAGGAAGGCCTGAATGTTAACACGGCGAAGGGAAGCAAGCCAGCATGGTGTGAGCATCCCTGGCCGGTTCTATGGGTGGGTGCTTATGCACATCAGAGCTATTTGGAGACGTGGACAGAGACTGAGGATCTTGAGCGGTGAAAATTTTCACAAGTTTGAGGAGAGAAAGTAGCTGGCTGGGAGTTTGGGCAGGTGACCTAGAAGAGGGCCTGAAGAAGAGCCAGTGGAAATGAAGACACGGCCTCTAACTACGGCTCTGTCACTCAGGAGTTGATCTCAACCAAGGCCCCTAATTCCTGAGCTGTGGTTGACAACAGTCCTGGGTTCAAGTTCTGATCTTACCACCTATTGGTCATACCTTTCCACGCCACAGTTTCCTTATGTGTGAATGGGGAGGATTATACTCATTTCCTACCCAAGGTTTTTGTGAGATTAAACTATGTGACATTCAAAATATTCTCCATCATGTCTGGAACAAATTAAGTTTTCAACAAATGTTAGTTATACTTGTACAAAGTACTGTCTTGTGTACCAAGGGTAGTGGGTATCCCAAACTACACAAGATAAGAGCCACAGTACTGAGGCAAGATCTTCCTAAGTATCCGACAGAGCACTCTGGGATTTAGGAGTGCTGTGCAGACCTGTGGACGGGGTGGGCACCCACCTGCCTTGCCCTCTTCCCTCAAATCCTTCAGATGGTTCTTCCCTTGGACCTGGGTAGTTTCCTCACAGGCATGTCTGATCAGTAGTACTCTGCTGAATACTCAGGGGAGACACTGAAGACCTCCAGAGATCTCTCTGTGCGTGACCCTCTCCTGATACTCTGTCCTATGAACTCCAGCGGCTGCCTTCTCCCATGACTCTGCTTCCTCTCCTCAACTCAAGGCGTCTTCCAGACTCTAGCCCAATGCCCTGGTCCTCAGGCACTTTCAAGGCTGCAAACGGATGCAGCTAGAGGACTTTCCTTTGTTTCCATCTCTTAAGATTCCTGTCCTTTGTTGCCTGATGTCCAGTATATTGGGGACCATGGTTTCAAATACTTTGTCTTCTTTTTTTGGTGGGGGGGGGGGCGGTGGTAGGCAGGGGTTGTTTCAGAAGGAAAGGTGATCCCAGTTCCCATTACTCTACCTTGGCTGGAAGTTTCCTCACTTCTATCAATACTTCTTGAATTTAGCTGTTATTCCTACAAATATTTTTTCCTATTTTTTTATCCTTCCACTTCAAGGACTCCGATTACACAGATATTAAGCTGCCTGAAGTTTTCCCATACCTCACTGATCCTCTGCTTATTTTTTAAAGCCTTTTTTTTCTCTGGGTGTTTCATATTGAATTGGTTTGATTGTGACGTCTTCAAGTTCACCCATCTTTTCTCATGCAGTGTCTCTCCTGTAGCGTAGCCCGTTCAGAATATTTTTCATCTCAGATGTACTTTCCAGCTCTAGAGACTCAATTTGGGTTTTTAAAAAATAACTTCCATGGTCCTACTTAGCACGTTAAGTCTTTTCTCTAACTTCTTGAAATATGGAATGTAGTAATACCATATTTTGCCATACACTTTTTTGCCCAAATTTTTGAGGGAAGAATAAGGGTGTGTATTATACACGGGTAGTACCAGTACCATATTTATATAAATGTTTTTAATTCTTTTATTCATGCTTATGCATTAAAAGTGTAAGTCTAGAAAGCAATAACAATATGTGTATGCAAAATAATACCATTTATAGTACAAAACCAAGTATATAAATATAAATAAATAAATAATTGAATTAAAAAATTAAAACAAAAGATGTTTTCTCTAAAAGTTTGGGCCAAAAATATGGGTGTGCATTATACATGGCAACATATGGTAATAACTTCTAATGTTCTTTTCTACTAACACTAACATGTGTCCATTTTGGATCAATTTTGATGGATTGATTGATTGTTCTCATTATGGATCAGGCTTTCCTGCTTCTTCACACACCTGGTAATAATTATTAGGTGCTAGAAATTGCAAATTGTTAAATATTAAATGCTTTTGTATTCCTGCAGATATTTTTGAGCTTTGTTCTGGATCATAGATAAGTGACTTGGAAACAGTTTGATCCTTTCACATCTTGCTTTTCAGCTTTTTCAGGCAGGGCCAGTACATTATTCACATTAGGACAAATTTCTCCCACTTCTGAATACTCTACCTGATGCCTTGTGAATTATGAACTTTTCCACTCTGGCTAATGGAAACAAGAAGTATTTTTGGTTCTTTATGAGTTCCAAGGATCATTTCTTTTAATCCTCTTGGGTACTCTTTACCTGGTTGACCTCAGGCATCCTTCTTCCCTGCATTCACCAATCTGACCACAGCGATCCCCTCCGCAGATCTCCAGGGTTTGCTTTTTGCAGCTCTCTTCTCTTCTGTAACTGATCTTGCAAACTCTGGTCACAATGGTCCCTTACCATATTGCATCTTGGAAAACCTTCTCCAGGTGATAAGCTGGGACAATCGTAGTGGTCATATTGCTTATTTTCTGCCTCTCAGGGATCATCATCCTTCTTTGCCTTATGACCAATGTCTTGAAAATCTTTGTTTCATTTATTCCCCCCTCCCCACATTTTAGCTGTTTTATGTAGGATGGTACATCTGGTGCCTTTTTGTACATTTCATCTGAAACCTGAAGTTTCCACAGTTCATTTTGATGACTCAGATGAACACATTTTATAATTGATGATCCAGTTTCTAATAGTGAAAATTGATAAACTTGTTCAGAGAGTATGATTTCAATCCAAAATAGAAACTTTAAATTTTAAATTTAAACCCAAGCAAATTAGCCCAGTCACTGCTTTCAAAGATACATGTTCCTTCACCAAGTATTTGAGCGTACAGTATCAGATAGGCACACTTCTAATTGCTGGCATTACAGCTGTGAGCAAGGCAAAATCCCCGCCCTTGTGGAGTTCACATTGTAGTGAGTAGGCTTTTCAAAAATATTAACGCAGTATATTTGCTAATTTGCCGAAATCTTTTCGCAGAAAGCTTGAAAAAAATAAAACGAAAGGATATAAAAATTCGAAGGAACAACGATAAAGCCAGGCCCACTTTCACTTTGAAACACATCACCAAAAGATGCAGTTGTTTAGGTCACAGTAGGTGTGTAACAAATGGGAAAAAAATTTCAAACTGCTTGTCCCAGGAGACCTTACCATGGTTCCTTCAGGGGCATAACTGATAGGGAGCACGAACCAGCACTATGGGGATGAAAAGGCTTAAGGGTGACACATCAGGACAGCGTGGACAGAAACATGAAGTTGTTTTTCCTCCATTGTCAGTTTTTTTAAATTTATGACTGGCAGGCGAAAGCTGACACTTCTTGTGGTAGTCTTGACCTTTTAATATGGTTGGTCCAAGTCCCATGCCTTGATTTCCCCAGGTGAGGATGTAGAGAAGGGGAAGAAGAAAGAGTATTCTGTAGCTCTTCAACGTTACTTCTGAGGAGCATATGTATTTTGTGCGATAGCTAATGAATATGTGCAAAGATATGGAACCGTGAATATGCAAACGATACACAAAAAATATGGACACGTTGTGGGGTGGTCAGGGACCCAGGCTATGGGGGTCCCTCCTGGCCCATGTACACCCCCCCCATCAGAGTGCTCACCCAGGCGCCCACGAATCCAGCCGCTGCAGCCAGAGCTGGAGGGAGCAGGTGGGCGGGGTGGGGACTCAGATCGCGGCGGAGGGGTCTGGGCAGCGGCGGTAGCGGGTTGCCAGACCCGGGTCCTGGAGCAGCTTGGAGCCCGCGCGCTCCAGTCCACCTGCTCCTGCTCCTAGTGGCGTGGGCGTGGCCAGGGCGTGGCCAGGGCGTGAATGGGCGTGGCGGGGGCGGGGTGCGCGGCCACGTGACAGAGCGCAGGTATTAAGCTGAGTGGAGCAGCTCTGCGCCCGAGCTGGTGCTTCCACGCGACTCAGCGCCCGGCCCGCCGCCCAGAGGAGCCGCGTCTCTGCCCGCGCCCGCGCCCCGCCGCGTCTCCGCATCTCCCGCCGTCTGCTTGCCAGTTCGAGTCCGCCGTCCAGGCCCCCACACCCAGCACCATGAACCAAGTCGAGCCCGGCGTGCAGTACAACTACGTGTACGACGAAGATGAGTACATGATCCAGGAGGAGGAGTGGGACCGCGACCTGCTGCTGGACCCCGCCTGGGAGAAGCAGCAGCGGAAGGTCAGCGGGCGTGCGTGTCCGTCCTCGCGTGTCTGTGTCACTCCGCGTGTCCGTGTCACTCTGTGTGTCTGTCACCGGCCGCGGCGACCAGCGGCAGGAGTCGTGCTGTCCCGGGTCCTCGCAGCCCGGTGCCCCTTAGAGAGGGGAGCAGGTCCACCACAGGCATGAAGCCAGGTGTCGTGTGTGCGCGCGCGTGTGACATGAGAGCACAAAACGAACAGTGTTCAGTGTTTCTCCTCTGATTTGCCTCTAACCAGACCCCGAGACGCCCGAGTCTGTGACCTTGGCCACAGAGTTACACTCTCCTGGCCCCGTGGTGTGCACCGAGCTATCCCAAACAGTCATTGAACACCATTTCTTAACTGTCTCAGGCTCCTTAGAGGGGTTGCTGTGTGAACACTGGGTATTCACGATAAAGTAGTGATTATCCACACTCTATTTATGGGTCACTGAGGTAAGTGCACAGGACGGGGGACTGAGCCAGCCCTGAAAGCTTCATGCCATCCTGGTTGGCACTCTCCTGGGCCCAGTGGAACATTCCACTCTTCAGGGTTTCTTCCTGATCCCCTTGGCTGGAACCAGCAGGGATGCTTACCAGGAGGATAAATTCACCTCCTGCTTGACTGGCAAGAGTTTGGCTGGGTCAGGCCTGCCAGCACAGACCTGCTCACCCAGCCTCATGACACCATGCCATGGTAAAGCAGAGTGCCCTGTGTTTCCCCCTATTTGGGGGTGGGGCAAAGTGGATTCCCTTCTTAGGTCCTGCTTTTAAGCTGATAACCTTATGTGTGCATGGGGAGTGTGGTGTGTAGCTGCCACTGTGGGTGGTCATGCAATAGTGTGCGGTGAACCAGTATATGATTGGAAAACACATCCCATACTTCCCTCCCAACAAAATGTTAACTGGAAGAAGTGAGGTCCTATATTTGGAAAGTTATCAAATATCCAAGAGGTATTTTTATGTAAGGATTTCTCTTTTGTTGTCTACCCTCTCTTTTAAAATACCATTTATTATTATTATCATTATTTTTATTATTATTTTAAAGCTCCAATTCAGCTACATTTCATTTCCCACCTTAGCTTCCTAAGACTTCCAACCAATGCTACCTTCTTGGAAACAAGAGAATGGGAGTGATAAGTAGAAGTTGAGTCTACAAAGGAAAATAACATTTCAAACCTTCCACCATGTTTATTGACTTACTGTGAGGGAAACCCCTGGCCCAAGGGTTACTTATGTGTCATCTGGACTAGCTCATGTGTCACCAATCAGCAAGAAGTTAAAAAATAACTTTAATTTTTAGCAGTGAGTATTTCTTTTTAAAAAAATTCTCATAGTTTTCATTATTATATTTTTCATGGATTAAAAAATCTTCTAAGTCTTTGTTTCAAAGATTGCTTTTTTTCCTCCCTTAGGAGGGACAGTAAAATAGCTAAGGAATGGGACAGATAGTCATCTAATAATTTTCGGAAGTAACAGTCTAATCACAATGGCCTCTGTTGATTTTTTAAAGTAATAGCAGAATAGAGCTAATGTTGGTTTCCATGGACCACATTGACATACATTTTCTGATGTATTTAATTTTTTAATGTATTCACAATATTTTTGGATATATTGAATGGCTATGTATTGTTTTAGGTTTTGGCTTCCAGTGTGAATATTATAATTATATAGCATGTGAAGTATATTATTAAAAAACAATTATACTCCCTGATCCTAGTTCAAGATAATACTAAAATGTTTAAAATGATAATTTATTTATTTTTCTTAGATAGTTGTGTGTAGACACTGGGGGGGGGGTGGGGAATGAAACAACACACTACATTAGGACACAGGCCTGAACAATTCTGAAGATACTCTATTTCCACTTTTGGTGTGGAACCACTCAGGTCCGCGAAATAACACTGAACTCTGAGGTCAGCGCAGCCAGGGCCGTGGCCTCTATTTGCGTCCTATGAGACAAACCGTTGGAACAGGGCGAGGAGAAAATGCCATTGTTTCTATTGTGGGCCACTTTCTCCACACTTGCCATTTCAGTGATATGCTGGGTATGAGATCTGTCAACAGATGCAGGGAGCACACAGTGACGTCTGCAGCGTTGTAGCAGACGTGGTGCCTAATTATAGCCACAGTTCAGAGTCTCCTGTGCTGTGGTGATCCTTGCTATAGAAGGACTTAGTAAAAATGTAGTGTTTTTTTTTTTTTATGAGAGGTTTTTTAAAAAAATTGTGGTAAATTCATATAACAAAATTTACCATCTTAACCATTTCTAAGTTCAGTAGTGTCAAAAGTACATTCACTTTGTTGTGTTACTATCTCCAGAACTCTTTATTTTGCTCAACTCTTATACACATTAAACAATAGCTTTCCATTCTCCCTTCTCCCAGCCCCTGGCAACCACCAGTATACTTTCTATCTCTATGCGTTTAACTCCTCTAGATGCCTCATGTGAGTGGAATCATACAGTATTTATCCTTTTGTGACTGGCTTACTTTACTGAGCGTAATGTTTGTTAAGTTCGTCCATGTGGTAGCATATGTTAGAATTTCCTTCCTTTTTAAGGTTGAATAATATTGCACACTGCGTTTATCCATTCATTGGTTGACGGGCATTGAGTTGCTTCCATCCTTTGGCTATTGTGAATAGTGCTGCTGTGAGCATGGGTGTGCAAATATCTCTTTGTGACCCTGCTTTCAAATTGTTTTGGTTTTATACCCAGAGGTGAACTTTCTGGATCACGCGGCACTTATTTTCAATCTTTTGAGGAAGTGTAGTGCCTTTTCCAAAAGGAGGCAATTCAGATGATGTTGCGTTTGGCATGAAGAGGTACAGGCATTTTCAAGGGCTCCCCTTCTCTCCCAGAGCTGTTTAGTCAATGAGTAGGAATATTTGTATTCACGTAAATTAGGCTCTTTTCAGGGGACCTTAGAAACTTCTAGAGCTTCAGCGTTTAGAAGCAAGCTTGTCCTGGAACCAAGGAACACATTCAGCCCCTAATTCCACTGAAGCCTAATCAGGAGGTGACTTGTCAGGACAGCAATGCTGAATATGTGCGCTATCTCCCCAGCACAGGGAACTGTCCTCCCCGCTGCGGAGGCAGGCGCAGACCTTTTAAGGAAGTGGCTCATGTTTCGACGCAGAAAAGGGCCTTACATTCTTAACCTGTGTACGGCAAGATGGTGGATAAGCATGTCTGCCAGTTGTAGGAAGCATAAGCATCCTTCATTGGCTCTATATTCAGAGTTCTGATTGGCTTCACCATTCCTAAGGAAATTGAAGTTCTTCCACATATTCACAGTTTATAGATGGATTAACTCACCACTCACCTTGGAGCACCTCCTGCCAGTCCTGTCATCTAGGATAAAATGTCCTGTGGGGTCAGGCGCATGGAAAGATGCATGTGTGGGAGTGGCTGCCTGCAGGGTTGGGATTAAACAAAGAGCTGAGAGCCCCAGAGTCACCCCTGTGAGTGCCCTTTGACAGCAGCTGCTGCTTAAAGGCTGAGATGAAGGGCCCTCGCCCTGCACAAGGAGATATGTGTGTGCATGAATTTTTCCTAGAGAAAAGGCACTAACGGTTCCCACAAGGTGAACAGTGAATGAAAAGCTTGTGAAAATTTCTCGGATTCCTGAGACCCAGATGACAGCTCAGCCTGGTGCTCTCTGACCATAATCAAGTCACCAAACCTTTCAAGGTTCCATGTGTGCATCTAGAAAACACGGGTAAATGATACCTGTGACAGGGTTTTGCAGGATCAAATGGTTAAGCTGGTTTATGCTGAAGCAGCTTTATGCGCTGTAAAACGATCTGCAGACGTTCACGTACGATCATCCTGTGCAGCACATCTAATTCGTTTTATCAGGTGCTGCACAGGAGTCAGCACCACGCTTGGACTTGTGAGGGCGGTGAAGCATAAGATTTGCCCCTTCATGACTTTGATGGGCTTTTTTTTTTATTGTGGTAAAACATACATAACATAAAATATACCATTTTAGTGTACAAGTCGGTGACCTTAATACATTCATATTATTGCACAGCCATCCCCACAGTCCATCTCCCAAACTTTTCCGTCATCCCAAACTGGAACTCTCTGCCTATTAAACAACTTCCCCCACTCTGCTGATGTACTTTAGATGGGATTCACACACTCAGACACTTAGAAAGGACACAAGAAACTATTTTATATTAAGTTGCGGATGCTTATTATATAAAGGTCAAATAAGGAAAATCATTGTGGGTGAGGATAATGATATAACAGCTTTATAAGGAAGTAGAGCTTGGAATGGGCCTTAATTTGAGTAATAACTCAATATTAGCTGAGTGGGGAGGAAAGAGAAACGGAGCATTCCTGGCTAGAGAGGTACTGTGAACAGCCTATTTTGGGTTTTTTGGGTGTGTGTGTGTGTGATGAGTGTGATGTCATAACAGTAATGTGTTTACGTAACCCTTTAGCACTCTCATAGTACCCTCACCTCCATTATTTCACGGGACCTCCTCACCCACCCAAAGAGATGAGGGAGGCCCGTGCATCTGGGATGTGTCTGCTGCTCAAGGTGCGATGGAGGGATGAAAGGGGTGCAAAGAGGAGATGGGCTTCACTGAAGCTAAAGATGCAAGTTTAGAGAGAAAATTGGGTTGATAACTGGGCCAGGACATAGGGCACTGGGGTGCCAGGGTGAGTGTGGACTTCACCCTCTAAGCAGAGCAGACATCTGCAGGTTTTGAGCTTGGAAGAGCCACATTCTTGTAGGGTATTGTTTGCAGAAGAGATCAGGGTGGGTGAGAGCCACTGCTGGGGGCCCCAAGCAAACAGGTTAGAGGCTGTGGTGGCAGTGGTGAGGAAGGCATTCATTTGAAAGTGATCAGGAGGGATTATAACAGTATTAAATAAGCCCATGTTGTTCCAGCGCAGGCTGTGGTATAAATCCAATTCAGCAGACACGTTCTCACCATTAGAGCCCCTGGACTTAAACCTCAAAACAGTGGTGTTGACAAGTAGCGG